TAAATGAGTATATTCTTTGTTTCATAAATTCTACTTTTATGATTTTGACTTGACAAAATTGACCAAATACACAGAGATATATATATACATTGTAGAATCACTTTGTAGCAGCAGATAATCGTACATAACCCAATGTCCACCAGTGAGAATTAAATAGCTGACTATATGTGCACACAGTATAATGCTGTTGTATCAGCGTGGAGATTTTTCAGCTACAAGCGGAGAAAAATGGCATAAACTAAAAAGTGATTTAGTATCTCATGGAATATGGAGTCTTAAGATAGAGTGGCTCTAAGGGTAGTTAAATCTGTAGCTTGGTGCCATCATCAAAGATCCAGATTTCTTCTATGTCTGTCATCTTCAGTATGTCAGCTCTTTTCCTGATCGCATTCAGCAAACGTACCAGGCACTAACAGACTGTAGTGATACAATAATAGGGAAAAATGGACAGTTCCTGCCCTCATAGGTATTTACAAAAAATATACTGGATGTGTGCAAAAGATAACAGCACAGTATGTGTTACCATTTATGAAAAAGATTCATATAGATGCAAACACATAACAAATCCCAAGCATTTTGTGAATATGTTTACTCTGTGACATTTACCAAGTGCTAAGTACTTTACATGGATTATCTCATCTCATCCTTACAATTCTTTGAAGTGAATATTATTATTGTCCAATTTAATATGTGTGTAAAGTGAGACTCTGAGAAATTGAATCACATGTATATTAACTGATTCAGAATTTGAACCCATGTTGGTTTTATTCAAAATCCATACTCTTAACCACTATGTAAATAACATTACATAAAATTAAATAAATAAAAAATCTAAAAGGAAATAGACCAAACTTTTAACAATCATTTTCTTTAGAAGCTAATGACTTGAATGCAGCTGACAGATACCACAAGGGTTGGGTTCCTAAAGAAGTGTAAAACAGGGTTCGTGGGATAGAGTAGACAACCAAAACTTGTAATGAGAGAGGTTTCAGAGGCTGTATAAAATTTAGTCATGCTTCAGGATAGGGCCATGTGTGTGTTTATGGAGTGAAGTAGTAGTCAAGGTCATTGGACTAAAGTAGGGCAATAAAACAAGCATTCATTCTAGTATTTATGAGTCATTCAAGCATATATATACGTTGGAGTTTGCAGAAACAATGGTGAACAAGATGAATAGGATTCTTACGTTTGTGGAACTTACAATAGGAGAAGTAGGCCGAGGCCAGATCATGCAAGGCCTTGTAGCCATGTTAAGAAAGAAAAGGTTTATTTGGATTTTGTTCTAAATGTGTTGAGAAACCATTGGTGGGTTGTAAGCAGGAGAATGACTTGATCTGTTTTCTGTTTTGAAAGGACCATTCTGGCTGTTACGTTGAGGTTGTATCTTGGGAATAAGAACAGAAAATAAGGTGAGCACTTAGGAAGATATTGAAGTAGTTCAGGAAAGAGTTGGTAGAAGCCTGGACAAAGGTTCTAGCAATGGAGATAGATATATTTCGACGATAGAGCTGAGAGTGCCTGATGGTGGATCTGATGTGGGGGGCAGGGAGAAGTGAGGGATTAAGGGTAACTGCTAAGTTTCTGTGTTGAACAAAGGGATGGATGGTGGTGTCATTTATGGCGATGAGAAATATTGGGGTGGAAGGAACACAGTCTGACAGATACTGATTTCGTATTCGATATGTTGAGTATAAGGAATTTGTGTATGAGTTTAGTAGGCAAGTAGGCTCTATTGTTATAATGCTCAGAATGGGCTGGAGTCCTCCATTTGGGAGTCCTCAATGCAAAGACAGTAACTGGAGTCATGAGCGAAGGTAAGATTGTCTAGGTAGAGGAGAGAATAGAGAGCAAGAAAAGAATTGAAGAAAGAAAAGAGTTGGACCTCCAGCAGAACTGAGAACAACAGTTTCCTAAGGGGTCGGTGTACAGATGCTGTGCTGAGAAAGGCCACTCATGACTTCCTGCTCCCTTGAATCCCATGAATATATTTTAGTCATAATCTTTCTGAATCCACTGCTACATTGTGATACTACTGTCCACTACTTCCAGTGAAACTAGACTCCCCAGGTTTTTCATTTTCTCCTTCTAAGTAAGTTTCTTTGCCCTTTACCAGACACATGAAACTTTATTGTTCCCCAGGAAGACTAAAGAATTATACTCTGTGTTGAATTGTTAAGAACAACTTCTAGAACTGGGAAGCTGCTTGCTGATTTTGGAGGCTATTGGTTTCAGAACTTGATGGAGGTGAGGGAGAAATCCAGACAGTTATCTCAAGAAAAGGAATTCCAGATACAGTAAAGAGCAAGTACAAAGGCCCTGAGGTGTGAATGTGCTTTAGTGCATTTGAAGAACATTTCAACATCTCCCCAAAGAGTCAGATTCTGGTTACTTTTAAGGCAGAGCCAGCATAAGCAGATACATCCAACGTGGACTATGAAAAAGAGGAGTCAAGGACAACTCCAAGGTTTTCCGCAAAAGTACACAGGACAAAATTGCCATTTACTGAGGGAGGAAAGGTTATGGGAAGAACAAATTTGGGGAGGAAAACTAGGAGCTTGGTTTGGAACATGTTAGATTTCTGGTGCCTAACAGACTTTCAAATGGAGATACTGGGCAGGCAGTTGGTTGTAAAGGTCTGGAATCCATGGGACAGAGACAAGCTGGAGGTCTACATTCAGAATTCATTGACTTACATGTGGTATTTACAGCCGTGGGACTGAATAAAGCCACCAAAAAAAATTCACTGAAGAAAAGATGATCAGGCCCTGGGGATTTTAGGGACAATTTTAAGGAGAATGGAATGATAGACTATATTTAAAGTGCTGTCACATGGGTTGTTTTCCCTTCTACCTTCCTTCCTTCCTCCCTCCTTCACTCATGACTATAAAAATGATAAAGCTGTGTGAATTCAGCCTTCCTGTGCCCAGGCTCAAGCATCAAACATCTTTCCTTTTTTTCCTCTCCCCTAAATATATACTGTAAACCCGAGGCACTGTTCTAATCTGGGCCCCATCCTCCAAGGGATCTTGACAAAAAAAAGCACCCCATACAGTAGGGCCAGAAAAAGCTAAGGCAATCTAGCCTTGGGGAACAGAACACTTTTCAGGGATGACAGTAGTTGCGATCAGCTCCCTGGTGTCCTAATTAAGCTCCCTGACTAAAAATTGCAGTCATTCAACTTTAGGCTTGATAGAACCAACTCTTCCAAAAGTGGTAAGGGATTGTCAGGCAGTAGTGAGGGCTTTGTGACTTTCAACGTGATGATTATATCTTTCAAAAATTACATTCTTGTTCTCGCTTTGAGATGCTGGTGAACACTGCTTGTGTGGTATGTGTCCTACCTAATTGACACCCTCCAGTGGAAATAGCTACAACACACACTTGAAATCTCACAGTCACATAATCAACCATTTTACTAAATACAAGCAAATTCTCATTCACATACAGCTAAAGAAAACATTTTTCCACATTGCATTACAATGCACAACAAAGTGAGGAAAAGTTTACAGTTTTTTCTGGAACAGGAGACAGTCTAATCCAGCATGCAGTGGTGGTCTTTGTTACAAGTTAGTTGGTCTTTTCTTTGACCTATGTAGTAAAATAGCTTCTAAAGCTTTATCCATAGTATTGTATTAACACCTGATTTTTTCACACTTATTCTCTAAAACCCACTTATTGCAGTGACAACAGCACTGAATTCTACTAAAATGAGTTTTAAAATTTCTAGAACTTGTTTAAGCAATTAAGCTCAGCCACCTTTGCTGGATCCTGTGCTGAGTATCTTTAAACCTGCCTTAAAAAATGCAAGGAGTGAGAACCGTATACATATAATGTATTTTAGACAAGAAAACTGTAGAGAAGTTTTGTTTCTATCCATTTTTTTTTTTTTTGGAACTGACAGAATCCACTGGATAATCTTGCCTTTGGAATCTTCTTACAGTAGTTGATGAAACTGCATTAATCCCACTGACCCTCTTCTATTTGCTTTCTGAAACCACGATCCGCCCAAGCCAGGTCAGGGGAAGTGAACGCAGAGACGATGGTTGGTTCACTTGTAGTTGGTGCTGCAGGTTGGTCCAAGGTGGTTTTTTTCCATAATTTTTGTTATTGGGCTGCTTCGTTCTGGCTGAAGTAATTTCCAGATGTTCAGATTCAGTCACGTTCATACCGAAGTTCGACATTGTGTGTCAAAGCCATTTACCATTGTCAGGCTTTCCTATCACAATGGATGTGAGAAACGTGACTATTCTGAATTGTTTTCTTACTGTGAAAAGTATGGCTTTTGCCTAGCTCAGCTAGCTACAATCCAAAGAATAATTTAAAGCAGGACCTCTCTTCAAGAAGGTCATGGACGCTTAAGCCAACCGTTTCAGTTTCCCGATGCATTAGATGTCTGCTCACCTGAGAAGTAAGAGCTGACTCTCTGGGGTAGACAAGGACCCAGTGTACGTATAGGGCAAACAGGCGGCTAAGGTCATTGTGAGGTGAGTATTTTATCCCCATCCCACTCCCCATTGCTGTATTTGGTTCCTTGCAGTAATATGTCCACTGTGTTTCAGTGATAAGAACATTTGGAGCCCACACAGTTTTGATGTGTTTCGAGTGTGCAATTAGTCTCTCATTGAAAGCCCTCTTGTCAGTGAGACCTGAACTGGCTTTACGTTTTGTTCCGTCCCCAGGTTCCCTCAGGATTGTAGCTGAGCCGTAAGCAATAAGGAAACATACCCTAACATGTAGAGAACATTTATTTACAGTCATATCTCTTCCAGAGTAAACAGATTAGTAACAGTTCGTTCATCTGACAGCAGGAACAAGCTGATGCAGTGGGACGGGAACTAGGAGTCAGGAGACCTTCCCCTTAGCCAAGTGAATCTCCTGCTTCTTAGTTTACTCTTGTAAAATGGGGAGGAAAACCTCACAGGCCTGTTGGGATGATCAGTAAGTAATTCAAGGGACTGTGAGGTGTGTGTCTCAGTACAGGGTTGATTAGCGAACGTTTGCCTCAGGGCTCCTTTCACAGGCGGTCCCTGTACACAGCTGCTCGGCCCCTGGAGAGGCGGGCGGGTGAACTCCAGGCCTGGGACGAGGGGACAGAGGGTATGGCATGGATTACAGTGTTTCTTTCTTCTACTTACATGGTCATCTATTCCATCACACGGGGGTGCGCTTTCTGGAATGTGGTAACAACAGTATGTATAACGGCCTCCCTTCTCAGAGCCACACTGATTTTACTAGAACAACAGGCCTTGAAAGGGTCTTAGTGAATAGCTGCTCTGTGCCCCTTGTTCTACAGACGAGCCGTTTAGAAGCCAATCGGTACCTTCTAGCCAAACCCAGCGCGCACACTTGGTGTACGGTGTTCTCACCGATTAAGTTGATCTCACAGTCGTTTTAGTTCTAATTGTTTCCAATGGGATCCTTTCCCCCCTTTACATATTTCTGTATGTTTGTGACCTATGAATGAGCGGAAACACCAAGAAAGAGTTATGCTGTCTGAGGGTGTATTTTTCTGGAAAAATTTCCCCAGGCCTCAGCCCCTCGACACGCGGTCCGCAAAGGGCACATGGAGCAGCCCCTCAGTCACATCCACCCACCCACGGCCAGTCAGATGCCCCTTGAGGAGGAGGCTCACTTGGTATGTAACATGGAGGTTGAGTCCATTCAGTCACCAGGGATTCTCTTCGTTGTGATCGCTTTGCAGTTCAGGTGGGAGAGCACGTTTCGGGACCCTGACAGCTGACTAGCACAGGCATCTCCGCTCTGATTTGACAACCTCTTCTGAAGAGTGAACCACGTTTGGTACAAATCCACTCTTCACCCCTTCCCATCCCTCCTGGATTGTAATATCCCCCCGTTTAACCAGCTCATATATGTCTCTTGTCAGGTCTGTGAAGGCTTTCTCCACGTTAATGGCGTCTCGGGCTGACGTCTCAATGTACTTCATGCCGTATGCAGCAGCCAGTTTCTCTGCCTCGTGGCGAGTCACTTGCCTCTGTGTATCCAGGTCACACTTGTGACCTACCAGGACAAATACGATTTGGTAGGGCTGAACGTGTACTTTGGTCTCTTCTAACCACTCATGCACATTCTGGAAGGACCTGCGGTTGGTAATGTCAAATAAGAGAAGACCACCTACAGAGTTCCTGTAGTAGGCGCGAGTGATGGATCTAAAACACAAGAAAGAAGTAAAGAATAAAGGCTGTGCCCAAACCCCAGTACTTCAGTGAACTCACACAGTGCACTCTGCTGTGTCCGCTCACTGACACAGTCCTTTAGTAAGAATGATCTTTTTTTTTTAAAGAATGGAATGCGAATGCCATTCTGTAATTAATAACCTGTGAATTTTCAGTTGGGCAAAACTAAGAGATGGCATCTTCCAGAAATGAACGCTCATGGCCTTCCAGGCATTTTCTCTCGATTCAGGTAGAACTACAGCTTACTGTCCCACCCTGGCAACACGGGATACCGAAGTCACAGGTTATTATGAAGAAAAATGAAATAATGAATGTTAAAGTGTCTTCAGAACTGGAGAGTTCATGATAAATTCTAGTAGTTGAAACAGAATTTAAAAAGATTAGAAATGAATTTATGGTAGTTGACAGAAAATGTTTATTAGTATATATAGCTATATTGCAATATACTCCATTTTTTCCCCATGTATCACTTCTTATTTTACTCTAAGAGGGTCCTCCATCTCTTCTCTGAGGAGAAACATGCTTTGTTTTTCATTTTCTAGGCCATGTGGAAAAGGGAAAAATCAGAATGGTCTGCGGTGGTGTTAGCAGAGTGACTGTCAGCCCCATTTCCTGACACACTTCAGAGAGGCTGAGTCAGGAGCTACCCCTGGGAAAAACTGCCTAAATAGCAAAAATTTCCCCTTAAACTGATAGAACTTACTTAAAGCAGTGTGCCGGGAGTATCTCTAAAACCTAAAGGTTTAGGTTCTAAAACATTTGCTGTACTTAAACAGAAGAAACCTCTAATATTTTAACTTCTTGATTTGAGGAGCACACATAAGTCACAGTACTTGGCTTAGAGCATATTAGAACTTAGTGGAGGGGGTCGAACGATTTGCCTCTACCATCACTTGTTTTAGACTACTGTGCTTTTTGATCTACATCTATTTTTAGGTTTTCTGTCTCCTTGGATGAAAAAGTTAAACAATGAGGGACTCAACAGCTTAAGGCTTAGGACAAATGGCCCAGTGATAAGAGAACAAACATCGTCCAGGGAATTAAAGTCCAAGCTAGATGATAGTAAGAACGAAGGTTACCAGTGACTTCAAGTCTCCAAAACCAGGCAAATCAGCCCTGGAGACTGGAAGCATTTCTAATTCTCTTATGTTTAAAGGTTCATGGAGAATGGCAGGTGTAATCAGAAAATTCAATGTGAGCAAAGGTTTTGATTTGTGAATAACTTGGTTCAGGAAAACAGTGAACAAGCTGTAGATCCCTGTCAAAACTCTTAAAGACATTATTATATTAGTGGTTTGTGAGTATTTAGAAAGGAACAAAGCCCTTTCCAAACACAATATAAGGCTATCTAAAAATTAAAATTCCCATTCATCAAAAAATTTTCTTGAAGTTCAAAGACAAATGACAAACCAGGAAAATATTTTACAACATACATGACAGAAAAGGGTAATAATCTATTAAAAAACTCTTTCAAGTCAATATCACCCAATAAATAATAAGCAATGGATATGAAAAGGCTGATCATAGAGAAAGAGATTTCTGTCAACATATAAAAAACCTTTCTTCACTTCTAATAGAAGAAATGCAATCATGAATTCAGAGTTGATCCTGTGCAAGGGTATGTGCCACAGTGTTGTTTGTGGAAGTTGGGGGTGAGGTGGGTGGAGCCAAGTTTGAAGTAAACTCTTCTTCTTTCTATTCTTCTTCAACTACCTAACCAGTATTTTCTATGCTCAATTAGTGTTCAATAGATAAATGAACAAATAATGACAGACATATTTGAAAATGAATAAAGGCGATTGAGTCCTTTTGATCTAATTCCTGCTGCCATATGTGACATTAGCTCAACTTGTTCTCTCCAAGTTTTCTGTGTACGCTGCTCTGTCACTTGTCTTTACACATGCTGTTTCCTGTCCCTGGGCTTTTCCTGTCTTGGATTGGGTAATCCTATCCATCAGGTCTCATCCTCTCTGGGCAGCCTTCTCTATGTTCAGACATATAATTACACACGATACATACTACAAGGGAAAACAAAGGGTTGTAGGAGAAAATTATACCTGTTCATTGATTACTCATTATATGCTTAGCGTTATAGTAGGGCGTGGGCATCTGAATATGAACCAGACACTCTTCTGTATAATTGCTGTTTATGTATTTCCTTCCACTACGCCAGCACAGAAGTTCTAAAAGGGAAGGGCTCTTGTCTGTTTTGTTTACAAGGCATCCTCTTGTGTGTTTCCTCAGGCTGTTTCCCCAGAAACAAGCCCAGCGCCTGGCATGCAGTGGATGATTTCCGAATGTGTGCTGGTTGCAAGAAGGAATCAATCATCTGTATCTATTTCATATAATTACGATTATGTCTATATCTCTATATCTGTATCTATGTCTATAAGTAGCTATCTGTGTATATCATCTGTCTATGCCTGTCAGTTTTGTAAAGATGACCTGGAAACAGTTTTGAAAGTAATGTAGCATAAGGACTGAGATTGATAAATTCCAGGTAGTTTATTAGCCACCAAGGGGCAGATCGGGGGAATTGTGGTGCAAGCAATACGTATTATTGACTGGCCCTCCCTGCCAGGGTGTTTCTTTCCCGGCACTGAACTCCCGGCTAGCTGAAGGTGGGCTTGAGCAGAAATCCCCGGACCCTTGGGATCGTCCCTACCGGGGCCGACACCAGGACCAGGAAGTCCTCTCTCCCCAAGGGTTGTGCAAAGCCTGTAGACCCTCCCACTGCTCGCGGCCCGGCTGCGCTCCCCACCTGAACCTCTCTTGACCCGCGGTATCCCAGATCTGGAGCTTGATGCGTTTTCCTGGCTCGATCTCCACCAGACGGGAGAAAAAATCCACCCCCACGGTGGGGTCCGAAACCTGGGCAAAGCGGCCCTCGGTGAAGCGGCGGATCAGACAGGACTTGCCCACCGTGGAATCCCCGATGACAATGAGCCGGAACTGGTATAGCCAGATGGCCTCCATGGCCGGGGCTCAGCAGGTCTCCTCGGCCCGGGCCGGCCGTGGGCGGCGAGAGGGGCGCCCAGCCGAGACCTCGGAGAGCGTGGCTTGGTCCGGATCTAGATCGGCCGCGAGCACATCGCTAGCCTGGGAGCCTGAGGCGAGGTAGGCCCCGGCGCGGGGAGAGCGAAGGAATGGATGCTGCGCTCGCAGAGGTGATGAAATGGCAGCAGCATCAGCACCACGCACTCTGACTCATCACTGACAACCGAGTTACTGTAATCCCGCGCGTAGACGCGACTGCCGGGGCTGCCACACTGTCTGTAAAAGGAGCGCACACAGAAACAGCCGCGGGGGGCGGGGGGAGGGGGAAACCCAGCGCCTTCCTTTCCTTTCTAATTTCTCCACCCACCGCCCCTTCTCAATTAATTTTTTTCTCTATCTCCAGCTAGCAAAAGGGATACCTTTTCATTCAAACTAGCAAAACAATCCAAAAATGTACACAAAAAAGTAGATCCATCATTATTAAGATATTAACAGCTTGGGATATATTCTTTTACGTGTATTGTCAAGCAAATATATATACACATACAAATTTATTGCTGTTTGGTGTCACAAAAACTGGATCAAATTGGACCATTACTTTAGTGTTTGCTTTTTGCAATTAATAAAGAATTATAAACATCCTCCATTTCCAACCCACTTTCCTTTTGCAATGACAATGCTACAATAATGATTCTAACTATAGTCACACATACGTTATTTCAGTGAGATAGAGTCTTTCAAAAGGGACGGGGAAGTCAAAGATGATGAGCATTTTAAATGTAATGGATTTGGGCATGATACTTTGTAAAAAATATTTAGCGATATGAATTCTACTTAGCAATATGTGAAAAGGCGATTTCTTCACATTTTTTTTCAAGCGTCATGTTATATTCTTTTTGAATTCTTGCCACTCTGATGTAGTTATTAAATAAGGCGTTCATTAGTTTGTTTTACATTTTCCTGACTACTAATGAGGTCAATACCATTTCTCAAGTATTGACCATTTGCACTTCCTCTTCTGGTAATGACCTCTTCAAAACTTTTGTCTGTTCTTCTTCTTCTTTTTTTTAAATGTAATTCCTTATCATTTCGTTACACAATTAAAAAACGTGGGGCTCCTGTGTGGCTCAGTGGGTGAAACATCTCCCTTCGGCTCAGGTCATGATCCCATGATCCTGGGATGGAGCCCTGGTCACAGCCCCTGCTTGGCATAGAGTCTTCTTCCTTTCCCTCTGCCTCTCCCCCGTCTTGTGCTCTCTCTCAAATAAATAAGTAAAATCTTCAAAAAACAGGTTTATTGATATATAATTCACATTCCATACTATTCACTCATTTGAAGTGCATAATTCAATGGTTTTTGGTATAGTCACGGACTTGTGCAACCATCACCACACTCAATTTTAAAATATTTTCATCATCCCCAAAACAGACCCCTACCTTTTGGCCCATCACCTCCTATCATCCTTTCCTCCTAGCCCTAGGCAACAACTAATCTACTTTCTGTCTCTATAGATTTCCTTATTCTGGACATTTCATATAAAGGGAATTATAAAATATGTGGCTTCTTCTTTTCACAGAGACATTTTCTGGCTTTATAACTGGCTTTTTTCACTTACCATAATGTTTTAAAAGTTCATTCACATTCGGTTTTATGACTGAGTAATATTCCACTGTGTGGATGTATCATTTTATTAATCCATTTATCTATGGATGGACATTTGGGTTGTTTCCGCGTTTGGGCCATTATAAATAATGCTGCTATGATCATTTTGTATACAAATATTTGTTTGAACACATGTTTTGAATTCTTTTAGCTTTAAATCTAGGAGTGGAATTCCTGAGTTCAGTGGTGACTATATGTTGAATGCTTTAAGGAAATGCCAGACTGTTTTCCATAGAGACTGCAAAGTATGATGGCTCTTATTTCTCCGTATCTTCTCCAACACTGGTTGTCTTCTGACTTTTTAATTTTAGACATCTGAGGAGTGGGTGTGAAGCGGTATAGCTCATTGTGATTTTGATTTGCATTTCCCTGAAGACTAATGACAGTGTGTATATTTTTACATTCTTATTGACCATTTGTGTATCTTCCTTGAAGAAATGTAGATTCAGATCCTTTTCCCACTTTTAAATTGGGTTATTTGTCTTTTTATTGTTGAGTTTTAAGAGTTCTTTATATATATTCTAGGTACAGGTCCTTTATCACATACATGATTTGTAAATATCTCTCCCATTCTGTGTTCCCTTTTTGCACTTTCTTGAGGGTGCCCTTTGAAGCACAGAGTTTTAAATTTTGATGAAATAGAAATTACCTTTCCCCCCCCTTTTGTTGCTCATGTTTCTGGTGTCATGTCTAAAAGTATTGCCAAATCCAAGGTCATGAAGATTCATTCCTAGACTTGCTTAAAAGATTTTCGTAGTTTTAACTCATACATTTAGGGCTATGCTCTATTTCGAGTTAATTTTCAAATATGTTGTGAGGTAGGGATCCAACTTAATTCTTTTGCATATGGTATCCAGTTGTCCAAGCACCGTTTGTTGGGAGAGGTCATTCTTTCCCCATTGAATGATTTTGGCACCCTTGTTGAAAATCAACTGGCCATAGACTATGGGTTTATTTCTGGACTCTCAATTTTATTCCATTGGTTTATATGTGTAGCCTTATGCCAGTAACACATTGTCTTGATTATTGTAGCTTTGTAGTAGTTTTGAAATTGGGAAGTATGAGTCCTCGTCCTGTGTTCTTTTCCAAGATTGTTTTGGTTATTTGAGGCCTCCTTTAATTCCATATGAATTTTAAGATCAGCTTGTCAGTTTCTGCAAATAAGGCAGCTGGGATATTGATTGAGATTTTATTAAATTTATAGGTCAATTTGAAGAGTATATTCATCTTAACAAAATTAAATTAAATTAAGTCTCCTAATGCTTGAACATGGGATATTTTCCCATATATTTAGGTCTTTTAAAATTTCTTTTAACAATCATTTTTAGTCTTCAGTTTGCAAGTCTTACACGTCTTTGGTTAAGTTATTTCTAAGTATTTTATTCTTTTTGATGCTATTGTGAATGGAGTTGTTTTCTTAATTTTATTTTCAGATTGTTCATTGCAAGTGCATAAAAATACAACAAAGGCTGTTTGTGGTGGATGTGATGGCTTCAAGTTTACTTCATGGAATTGGTGTGCTGGTCATGCAGGACCTCAGGGCCCACAGTCCCAGTGGAGTCGCCACGGCATCTATGGCATCTGCACGTAGTGTTGCTACTGAGACGGGCAGGCAACTGGGCTTGAGAGGGAGGTCATGATGACTCCTGAAGGGGAGGGGCTGGACCCATAAACATGCTAGCCCCGCAGGCAGCTTCAGGCACCAAAGAAGACCCTAATTTAGTCCCATCTATCACCAACAAGCAGATAGTGGGCTGCATCTTTGAAGAGGACGGTGTTGCCTTCATCTTTTTCTGGCTGGACAAAGGCAAGATCCAGGGATACCCTAGCTTTGGAACCCATTACAAGCTGGTGCCCCACCAATTGGCCCACTCTGCCTTTGCCCTAACTTACTCAAAATGTCCTGTGAAGTTTCTTCCTTCCAGTAAATACTGGCCATCACATTGGCCCCTTCTCCTCCCTCCCCCTGCAAATACAATAGATTTTTAATTGATTTTATAATTTCCAATCCTGCCAAACTCGTTTACTAGTCCCAGTGGTATTTTTTAGGGTATTCCATATGATTTGGTCAAACAGTTTGTCTGCAACTGATCATGCTATCATGAGATGATCATATGCTTTTTGGTTTTGTGGTCTATTGATATGATGTACTACATTAATTGATTTTTGGATGTTGAGTTAACCTTGCATTCCTGGTATAAATCCTACTTGATCATGGTGTATAATTTTTTTAAAAGATTTTATTTCTTTATCTGACAGAGAGATCACAAGTAGGCAGAGAGGCAGGCAGAGGGGGGGGGGACGCAGGCTCCCTGCTGAGCAGGGAGCCCGATGTGGGGCTTGGTCCCAGGACCCTGGGATCATGACCCGAGCCGAAGGCAGAGGCTTTAACCCACTGAGCCACCCAGGTGCCCCAAATGGTGTATAATTTTTAAAACATGTTTTTAGATTTGATTTACTAGTATTTTGTTGAAGATTTCTGCATCCAATTTCATACTATTTGATCTGTAGGGTTTTTTTTTTTTAATTTTTTTTTTTATTGTGATGTCCTTGTCTGATTTTAGCCTCAGGGCAATATTGGCTTCATAACACGAGTTCAGAAGTGTTCCTTCCTCTTCTGCTATTCGGAAGAGTTTGTGAAGAATCGGTTTTAATTCTTTTTAAATGTTTGCTAAACTTCAAGCCAGTTGGGCCTGGGGTTTATTTTGTGGGTAGCATTTTGATTACTAACTCAATCCCTTCACTTGTTATATGCCTACTCAGGTTGTCTCTTTCTTCGTCTTTTTAAAATTTAAAGTGTATTTTATTTCACCAAGTATATTCAAAACTATAATCAATTTTATAATCATCAGCTACCCAATTTATAAGCACTATAAAATTATGAATGAGATGTTTTATATATCTTTGTACTAAATCTCAGATATTTGGTGTGTATTCTACACCTATAGCACATCTCAACTTGTACCAGCAGTGTCGCTTGTGGCTTGTGACAGTGCAGCCCAGAAAGGCCCCACCACCCAGCTGCATCCTCCCCCTACAATTCCTTCTCAGGACCAGCTGGCTCATGCCCCTGGCCACTGTTTCTTGAGCCAGCTTCAGTAGTTTGTATCTTGGTAGGAATTTTTCCACTTCATCTAAGTTATCCAATTTCTTGGCATACACTTGTTCGTAGTATTCCTTTATGATCCTTCTAAATTTTGTAAGGTCAGTAGTAATGTCTCCTCTTTCATTTATGATTCTAGTAATTTGAGTCTTCTCTCTCTTTTTCTTGGTCAATCTAGCTAAAGTTTTGTCAATTTCCTTCATCTTTTCAAAGAACTAACTTTTCTTTAGTTGATTCTGTTTTAATTTACTTCCATTTCATTTATCTCTGCTATAATTTTTAGTATTTCCTTCCTTCTCCTTGATTTACTTTTAGTTTACTCATCTTTTTTTTTCCAGTTTCTTAAGGTGTAAGGTTAGGTTATAGATTTGAGATCTTCTTTTTTTTTCCTGAACAGTGACATTTACAGCTATAAATTTCCCTCTGGGCACTGATTTATCTGC